CAACGTGACGGATCGGTGTGCGCACACTCTGCTGTCAGACACGGGATTTGAAGTGTTTGCTAACTTCCTTGAGCATCGCCGTAGAGACGTGAGCTTTGTGGACAGCGTGACTCTGACAGTTGATTCAGGCGATACCGTCATCCTGGAACAAGGAGGCAGAGTCTTGGTGAGAGGAAAAAGTTAAAGTCACCCACCCTCCAAACTTCTCTTTTTTCTGCAGAATTACCTCTACAGTGGCAGCAGATTCATGTTTTAAACATCCCTCCTTTTTGATGCAGGTGAACGGTGCAGTGGAGTCCATCAGCAGCTCAGAGGAGCAGTTTCATGGGGTTAACATCTCCAAGAGTGCAAGTGGAGTCACCGCCCACTTTTTGACCTTTTCTTTGTTCTTCGATGGCACCACGGCACAGATCTACACACAAGGTATACCTCCAGAAGACATGAGACAGCAGATCAGTGATTACATCATTTAGGACGGAGTATTTATATTAACATAGAAGATGTGGGGGATACATCATCATAAGCACTCCCATTGTTGCATATGTTGCATCTAAAGTTGTTTTTCACTCGATGATGAATCAAATTTTCAAAGAGAGGCTCCTGTCGTTAGATGAAAAGTCGTACAAAACATTTTTTTCTTGTCAACTCGGGAGATGGAAGACAAAGTGAACATCAGCTGTAAGTTCCATCGCACAACCAATGCTTTGCTCCACATAAACAATCACGCCCACAAAGTTCTGACCAATCACACGCAGCAAGGTTTACTAGAAATAGTTCAATACAAGACAGCAGGAGATAAAAGACGGGAGTTATACACAATTTTTGTCAGGCAAGTCTGTAAGCAAGACGTGAGAATAAAAGTATAAATCAGTCATCAGATTTCATCATGAAGGGTTCTAACATGGTCTTCATGTCTTCTGTCATGAATCTTCTCAGGTTCTAGCTCATCTTGGACCGGTCTGTGTGCTAACTCCAGTGATGTTCCAGGAGAAAGAGATCCGGGGAACAGCCCTCCCGGGTATGACCTCGTGTCACCTCACTGTCTCACTCACTGCTGCTCTTCTTAATGATAAAATGTCTGACATTCCTGGATGCTTTATGAACAAGTCAGGGAAGAAAAAGAGTTTTGATCTTGTGTTGTTTGTCGCCCTCTAGCTGCGATGTTCTGTACACAGATGCTCCTGACAGTTCAATCAACAGCACCATGGTGAATAAACGGTGAGCTGATTCATCAACACAACAGGAAACATTTCTTTGTGTAATATTTTGTCAACATGAATGAAAAGTAAAAGTACTTTCTGTTTTGAATAGCTGCAACAACCTGAGGAAACACTCTTTCATTTCCTGTAACGCTGACGTTGACCCAACACCCTACATAGACGCCTGCAGGGGAACTATGAGCAGATATCCTTCAGAGGACGGCCTCTTGACTCAGTTCCTGTGGGCCTACGCCAGAGCCTGCAGCCTGAACGGCCACAATGAACTGGGAGACTGGTGGACCAAGGCTGAATGCTGTAAGACCTGAACAGCTTGAGTTATTTTTGTTTGTTTTTTAACTCAAATGTTTTAAAAAACGAAACATTTCTGTGATCTGTTGTAGCTCCACCCAAGGCTTATTGTCAGGGRATTTTCTGCAAAGAGCATGAGTTCTGTGGCTGGACGTTCAGTGGACAACCTGCCTGTCTCTGCAGAGCTGTGTTCMCCTGGAAGTACAAAGAGTCCGACACTCTTGGTACGACATCTTACATAAGATAACATGACTGAGTGACTGAAAAARATTCTAATTGTTTGTTTTTGATGGTTTTAGGTGATCCAACGATCTGCGTTCATAATTCTGCTTCAGTCAGTCTTTATAACTGTCTGCTGGAAGAAAGAGGCATCGACTATGAAGTCCTACATCTCAATGATCCGACCTGCAAGGGTCAGCTGAACAACGTGACCAACACCGTGACTTTCAGCTTCAACACCAGAAACCTCTGTGGAGCAAAGATCTCGGTGGGTTCTCACTTCT